CGATATTGATGTAGGTGGGCTGACACCGGATGATCCCATAGGAAGTGGCCTGTTAGGTACCTTATTAGGTATCCCACGCAGTGAAGCTAGGCACCTTCTGTATGCTAAAGAATTCGCGATTCCCTAGTGCATCTATTAATACGCTGCCTACAATACGCCTTCACTCAGAATTAAAATCAATGTTTAGTTCCTCTTTCTAACTGCTGGTTAAATTATATTTAGGGCCTGTCCCACCAAGTTGTAAATTGACTGATAACAATCCAACATGTAAAATATGTGATGGAAATATCAGATTTTGTTCTGTTATATGATAGTGACGTCATTTTAAGCTATCTGAGCCTCTATCAGCCAATGGTGGAACAGGCCTTTAGTTTAAAATAATGTACCTGACAAAAGTTAGTATGGTTGACAGAACCACTACCACCACATTTTTCTCAGCTTCGGAAATTGTTTATGAAATAAAAACCAACCAGACATCTTTTATGTTACAACTTCTATTTACTGAGAAAAACAGATGAATGATTCATGTTTAAAGTGAATGAAACTCGCTTATTCTAGTTTTTCGCAAAGTTACTTTAACAACAAACCTGTTCTTCAGATCCTAGTCAGATAAACGACTTGGGAATAAAAACAATTCAATACATAACTGAATGCATTTATGCTCAACCTTGAAGCTTTTATCTTAACTATTGTTAAGCTAGAGTTTATGTAACAATTTACCTGAATAAAGTTGGTACATCTTTATTCTAAAACGACCTGTCGCCCGCTAACTTAGCTCAAATTTGGATCACCCGTCACGCCATTTTGATAGCGTGGAATGTAAAAAAGGTAGCGTATAATATGCCCGTCTATGTCAGTTACCCTTCAGTGAAAGTCACTTCGAAATCGGCCCAACCGTTTAGTAGATTACCCTGAACAAATGCGGCTTGCGGACAGACAGACAAACATTTTTAAATGCTATTTTCTTTATCAGCTATGCAAATACATCATCCCCCGAAATCTGAATTTTTCTTTTGATATTACAAACAGACACTCCAATTTTATTATATCTATAGATATATAAATAGTCTTAAAGTAAAAAAGTTTCCAATTGTTTAAAAACTTACGAAGTGATAAAAGTCAATGTAAATGAGCAAACTTGGTACACATGTACTAATGAAGTTGTGTTACGTCAATTCGCATAATTTCCTCAATAGTAGTTACTGGAAGTCAATAACAATGTTTTATGTAAGATATCAGATGTGCGAAGGTCAGACTTGAAAAAGTAAAATGTATTTACAGTACGCGCACACCTTAGACTAAATTATCGCACAACTGTTTAGTCGCACTTTGATTCCCATGAGGTTATATGGAGGTGCGCACACAATTATTTTTCGTTGTGCAACGCGACAGACGGCAGGTTATTTTTTTTTAGAAAGTGTTACAACTGGAAACAAAGACATTTCAAAAGTACATAATTATCTACCACTCAGTAATATATTAATATATTTTTCCAACATTATACCTTTTGTAATCCACACATTACAAGTTAAGAATTTGCATAAGATGTATGGAAAGTGCAGTCATATCGTTTTACTGTATCAAACTACAAAATCTGAACTTGGTGAACCAAATTGGGTTAACATGGTAATATAATATTAAGGCTTGCGGTGGAAAGTTGTGGTACTGTTAATCATAATATTTGTAACCCTGCCTATACCATAATCAGGCCGGTACTGTGCGCCGCGATCGAAACTTGAAAACTGAGATCCATTATGTCAGTGTCTATAAGTTAAATGTTAAACTGCTGTTCATTTATAATTATGCCAACATAGAATTACATATTCGTATCTGACGACGACCGACTTAAAATTAAGTCCATTACTTTTTAGTCTATACTAATATTATAAAGAGGAAAACTTTGTCTGTTTGATTGTAATGAAATAATTCAAAAAAAAACTACTGGGCAGATTTTAAAACTTCTTTTACCATTAAAAAACTACGTTGTCAATGAGTAACATAGGCTATGTTTTAAATTATTTTTTAATTTTACGCGGACGGAGTCGCGGGCAAAAGCTAGTCGTCTATAATTTTTTTCCCCGCTTGTAAAAAATGGACCAGAGCCAATGCATCTAGGAATTTCAAATCTCTGCCTTTTCAAAGGCAGTAACTGGTTCTAACATCAGACATGTTATGAAAACATTGCCTTTGAATTGTTTTCATATTACTTGAAATTCCTATAACTAAGTACTTTATGATTACAGATTCCTTTCATGAGTAATTGATAAAAAAAATATACTTTCCAAAGAGAACGTTTGGCACGACTTGTAACGACTTTTGTAATTACGCAAATACTTATGTGCCGTTATCGATAGTTTTATATCGCATTTAGTATACGTTCATTAACCTTTTAGTACCTAATTTATCCTTTAAATTTCATGTTGGTACCTAGTTATAAAAACGCAAATGAATATCAATAACCTTCCAGGCGTTGGTCTCATCACCCGTAAGGCCGCGAATGCGGTAACCCCCACTGTGGAGATCCGGCAGGACGGTGATGGCTACTCGCTCGTCACCTCCTCCACCTTCAAGACCACCGAGGTCAAGTTCAAGCCCGGTGAAGAGGTCGATGAGGAGCGCGCTGATGGAGTTAAGGTAACTAATTTACGTTTGAGTTTTTTTCGAATAATCAAACAAGGACATATTTGCCGGAAAATGTCTTTTTATTTAGAAAATAATTTATTAAAAGTTTTCGCTCGAGATTCCGTCCGCGTGGAATTAAAAAAAAAAACAAAAGTATTGTTCTTTCAGAATATACTCCACATCTATGCCTTTCATCCAAATCAGTTTAACCGTTTAGGCTTCAAACTCTAATAAACACCCATCCATCCATCTAAACTTTTGCATTTATGATATTAACTAAGGTTTCTAAAATAGTTCAAAATTCTTACGTTTGTGATCGCAGGTGAAGTCGGTGTACAACTTCGAGGGTAACACCCTGAAGCAGGTCCAGAAGTGCCCCGACGGTATGGAGATCAACTACATCAGGGAATTCGGCCCCGAAGAGATGAAGGCTGTAAGTGATAGAGATATAACAATAGATTTTTTATAAATTAAACTAACTTCCGCTTAAACCTAAATAAAGTTATATATTTATCGCAGTTTTTTCAAGAAAATTGAAAGGTATGCAAAGACTATTTCGGCAGTGAATCATGTACCGTTTGAGATATAAAATGACATTATAGTAAGGTTAATACAATTGTATTTTTAATTCCAGGTGATGACAGTGAAGGACGTAACCTGCACCAGAGTGTACAAGGCGCAGTAAACGCGATCTTACAAGACTGCGGGGCGGTCGCTCGCCCTTCAAAATTAAAAATTTCCTACATTATTTTATATTACAATATATTTAGCACAACTATTTTCGTAAATAGCCCTAAGTCGATGGTTTAGGTCTGCTTGTGACTTTGGTCTGAATATGTATGTTGTAGAACTTGATTTGCCAAAGTTAGGTTACGACGGCGCTGGGTGATTAAAATCTTACACATTTTGTTGTATAAGTTTTTCACTTCATATTTAAATAAATAGTTTTGTACGAATGTATGTTTTTTTATTTATTTTTTAACCTGAAACCTGATATCTCTAACAAAATTAATATTTCCTTTTCTCGAAAGTGAAGATACAATACCAAAATGAAAAAAATAGATAACATTTTGGACGAGTACCGAGTAATTTAGTAATTAAATGTGCATTAACAACGAAAACATAGTATCTAATCAAAGAGAAGAGAGTTTCAAAATACTCTCGTCTCTTTGATTAAATAAATTATTAGCTTCAGCTATAATTTATTTAATCAAAGAGACGAGAGTAAATAAATAAATAAATTATAGCTGAAGCTAATAATTTACTCGGTACTCTACTAAATTACTATCAAAGTGCGAACTAGGGAACTATTATGGTCCAGTGTTGCTACCAAAGGAAGTCGCCAGCTGATACTCGAGTCAATTGTATTAGTAATTTTCTTTTTTAATTCCAAACCGAGCTATCACCATGAGGCACAATTTAATTATGAATAACTGAAAGCAGTTTATGAGTTATCTATCTGGTTTTATAGGGATAGAAAGCATCATAGTATTTTGAAGTCCTAGTTTAAATATGTACTTATTGTTTCGGTACGGCTTTATCCGCATGATATGATGAAAATTATATTTGATTGTTTACATCTTTCAAATTTTCAAATTGCAAACGTCAAAATGACATGACATGATGACAAACCACGCCAATCTTGCTTCCTTTATGTTGGCAGCTTGTAGTTTATGGTCCTTTTCCCACATGAAAGTGTTTTTGAATTTATCCTTCCTCTAAAGAATGATTCATTTATTTTATGATTATGATCAAAAAGGGAGTAATGACTGAATTGACGTATATAGAGTTATGTGGAGGACAAAAACCTATTGCGCCGACCTTACGGGAGTAGGATAAGAAGGATGATGATAATGATGATAAGGAATATTTAATACCTTCTCCGGCCTTTCTCTTTGAAGAAAGAATTTCTAGATTCAACAATTAAAAAATATTATTTTTTTGTAACACACAATCACATCTAGAACTAAGTCAAATTGAAAAAGCGCCCTCTATTTTTAAAACACATGAGCTATGTGAGACCTTAAACTGCCATATCCAATTAAGTTTGTTATATTTACACTAGATATCACTGCTGAGAATAACTCCCTCGGAGTTTAACTTGTTTAATGATTTTTTATATTAATTCAGTGGAAATTAAAAATACTGATAAGTTACAGATCTCTTTTTTACTTAATTTTATTTAAAAGAAATTCCCTCGGTTACCTTTCTTTTCTAAATATGAACGCACCAGAAAATGGTGTGGTTGACATATAATGCTCCGAATTTCAATAGCACGGCAAGTCATACTGTTTGCCTTGAAATTTCATACATTTAAAAGGAACAGGTTTTAGTGGGGTTCTGTTTGGGGCGGCCGGTCGTTGCCTGTTTTACTTTTGCTTAGTTTATTCGGAGCGTGTCAATACTGAGTACGTCTGGATACGCCTACGGAACGCGATTTACGACATCTGTCAAGTTAAACAGATCTCTGATTTCCAGGTTTTAGTGCATTCTTTCATGAATACTGTGAATTTTGTGTAACGTAAGTGTTGTTACAATGCTAGTGCGTGATATACAATGGTTTTAGTTCTAATGTATTAAAGCTATACGTATATAATGATAGAAATTCGCTGTGTTGTTGTATTTGGTGTGCTAGTTCATTGAAGGTATCTGGCGAGGATTTTACACCGTTGGGTTTTCGGATTAAAAATACGCACAAGTGAGTAAATATTTACATTAAATGTTTAATCGTTGCGAGTAGAGTTCAAAGCAAAATAATACTTACACTACTGCGTCGTGAAAATAGTTTACGATGGAAATACTAAGCCACGGTAATCTTTATGGTCTTAATTAATTTCAGATGTAGAGATACTAGTCTTACTGAGAGCAATATTTGTAAAAGGTAAGTTAAACATTTGGAGTCCATGTTCTAGTAATTTCACATGAACTTTAACTACTTTTATCAGTAATATATACATTTTTATTAGCATTTAAGCTTATTAAGTTACTTAATACTTACTATTGATATTTATGTTCTAATCTGCTGTCACCCATATACTTTATTATATGGGTATACTATTCAAGTAATATCAAAATAATATAACACTCAAATTTATGTGATTCATTAATATAATGCTTTACAATAAAACAAGCAACTTTGCATTGTATTGATTTTATTAAATCTAGAAACTTCATAATTGTATACATTTGTTTGGTTTAAATAAATGTGTAGTTAAATACTTTTTAAAGGTTTTATACAATGTTATTTACAAAAATAAATGTAGAATGATAATGCATGTTCTATTTTTAAATTAGTCTTCCTTGTTTTACTCCGGAAGTTAAAAATATAGAAATAAATCTATGCCAATAAAGAGTTTTTTTTATAGTTGAAGGTATTTAAAAAAGTTTTCTTTGTAGACCATCAAAATACTTTTAAAATGGCAGTATAGATGTGACAGTTTACGTGACAGGAATCTTTTAATCATCCGGTAATTTAAAAATATATACATTTTTATAATAATAGGATGGCAAACAAGCAAGCTGCCACTTGAATCCAACGAAATGAAAAGTAAAATAAAAAGCAGAAAATAAAGTTGTCAATGTATAATTTCGATATACTGAATCTATATTGTTTAAAAAAAAACATAGATAAGTGGTCACCATCACAAATGTGATATTTACTTCTTAACATGTATAAGCTTGTTTAAAAGATTTGCAACTTTTAGTTATGTTTTATATGTACTGAATTAAAGAAGAAAATTGGTGTAATACCTGAATTTTTTCTTATGCGACTTGAACTATAAAAAAGGTTTTATTTATTAAATTTTATTAAGTTGAACCTAATTTGCATTACAATGCTAAACTAATACAAAAAATAACTAAACAATTTTTCAAATTAATGTATAAAATGCATTTTAGATTTATTTTTTCACTTTCTAGATGTCCTAAAATACTGTAGTAGTAAGGAGTGTTGTAGATGTAATAAAAACATGATCAATAAAAATAAATAAATAGATAAAATAAACAAATTAATTAAATAAATAAATAAAATGATGAATTTACTTGGTTTAGGAATGCATTGAGGATTGCAGAAGTTTTACAAGATCCCATTACTAGTTTCCATATAGCATTAGTAGACTTTTCTTATACTTAGTAGTAACACTATAAGAATGAATATGTACTTTTTTATATTTATGGTCATAGACAAAGATCAAACAGGGAGTAGGATAGGTCTATTTTATAAAGTACATGGTATTTCGTAAGTACGCTTGTAGCATTTCGGTGTTGTGCGGCGCCGCGTCTCAGCGAGAGGGGACGCGCGGCCCAATCGATATCACGCCCGTCCGCCGACGTCAGCTGAGACCACAGATGTTATCACGAGATTTCGCTCACCATTCATATGTATTGATCCTTCTCGTCTTAATTGTGTCTAGACAAGAATTGTCTTATTAGAATTGGTTGTACACATTACGAGACACAAAGTTTTATATGAATTAAGGAAATATTAAGGACTTTACGTTTCTTCTAAACATTTCATGTCATTGCATCTTTGGAATCTTATAATATACATTTAGTTACCCTTAAGCTAGGTTTAACTTTTGGGCTGGAATATATCGGGATTATTATAAACAGAAGTAATTTGACTAAGATAAATAAATCGAGAGGTAATAATTTAATTCGCTTAAGACTCCATGACTCATTATAAAGTATAGCTTCAGACATTGTAAAGTATAATAACACGTATAATAGTGCAAAAAAACTAGGCGATTGTTACATGTTCGATGTAATACGATAGTTTTTTGTGTCACGCGCGTCCTTTCGCTGACTGAGTATACGCGATGTTGGAACAGGTATGGATTCGACGCGGTTTATATAACTACAGCCATGTATCGAATCTGGTTTAAAAAGCTGCATTGCGAGTGGTGACGTCAAGCCACAATCGGAATGCAATCTGCCCGCCATATGCTATGTTACCCTAGTACTCCAAACGTATGACAAAGTACTTAATATTTGTTTGGTGTTTTATTTCTTTGACCTCATCATTCTCAGGATGTCTCACGTTTTTTATTTCAACTTATAACTACTGTGACTTTTTTTGGGTTATAAGTTTAAAACTAGCGCAATTACTATTACAAGTTATGGCCAAATACTACGAACAATCAGGTATGTCTCACTGCATCTATGGATCAAATAGTAATAACTCAATTATGTTCCTATTGGATTAGTGTCCAATACACTTTATTAAACTCTTGACTCAATTTCATGTAGAAATTATTAAATTATGAATGTTACCACAATGAAAAGGTAAATAAATTTCTGGGTTTCATAAAATATTTCCTAATGACTAATATGTCTTTCGGTATATATTCATTAATTCAGAAAAATAAAATTAGTAAAAGTGGTCATTACGCTGAATAATTGTTGGTTTTACTGTAGAATTACAATGGAAATTACAGTAAAGGCTTGTCTCACTGCTGGCTGACCTCTATCAGTGACGTCATAAGATAGCTTGAAAATGACGTCACTGTCAGATAAGGGAACAAAATCAGATATTTCTATCTCATATTTTACACGTTGGATTGTTATAAGACAATTTACAATTTGATGGGACTGGCCTTTAAAGTTATGTTCTATATCACATAAGCGCTTCATCTGCACTCAGAGCGCTTTATCACGTTAGCGTTCCTAATGAACTGACTGACACGCGCTAACGAACCCTCTAAGTGGAAACACTAAGAGAATATTGTACATACATTTTGCTCTACTATCATCATTTAATGGTACAGTCGACAAAACAGGAATATAGCAACATTTATAAGTGGTTATTATATAGACTTTAACCCTAGTCACTCCAGGAAACATTATTAATGGATCCTAAGACCATCCTGGACCTAAGACTTAAATTCGAGTTTAAGTTAAAAAAGGTCATATTGGAATTCACAAACTGTAGATTTTAAGAGTAGACGTAACAATATAAGAAATTATTAAACATTTTTAATTAAAAAACTCATAACTATGATAATTTCCTCTATGATTTAACTTTATCTTCAAATCCTGTGCGGAAAGGTAAATGCATACAAAAAATCTAGAGAGAAAAATAAACCCAACATTTTATTCTGAACAGAATAAGTTATAAAAGCGACTGAAAAACAGAGTAAGTCGGGCTGTGCAAAGTTTGCCTTCGACAATTTTATCATGCCGTGCTAACGTAGTTATGGTGCATATTTGTCGACGTCTATAAATCATAAAGCGTCGGGAAGCCAATTTTTTTATACAGTAGGTCTGGAAATTGATTACTAAACAATAGCTGTAAATAGTACTTTATTAACCTGATTAACGTGACACGTTTAAAATTTAACCAAAAGTCTAAAAGATTATAAGTAGTCTTAAGAACGTGTATTTTTAAGAATGTTTAAATTCCTAGTAAAATCAATACATTCGCCCGAGCGTATATTTCTTGTTGTGGTGTTCGTTTTACTTAAAAGGTTACACTTTTTTTTGACCGACTTCCCAAAAGAAGGAGGTATTCAATTCGTCGGTATA